TTATTTTCATTTTACTTCCTCATCAGAGTTAGCAATCTGATCTTCTACATCCTGGAGGAAACAGCTATTTATTGTAAGGATGATAAATACACTTGACAGTTTAATATATGTAATACGTCAGCATGACAGTGCTATAACAATTCTCATCTTATTAAATCCTTAGGTATTATCAAGGTTATTGCATCATCCCATAGTCCAAAGGGGGAGATACAAAATTTCTAGGTCAGTGTAACAAGAGGAATTATCGCAGGACAAGGTGCTAATGTACATAAAGAAAAACATTTGTAGGCAATTTTAATTAACAGCACTATATAAGGACAGGCTTATAACCATGTAGAGTTACATGTATTGTCTGAGATAGTGATATGGATGTGAAATTATTACCAGCCAAGGGCTTATTGTCTGAGATAGTGATATGGATGGGAAATTATCACCAGCCACAGGCTTATTGTCTGAGATAGTGGTATGGATGGGAAATTATTACCGGCAACAGGCTTATTGTCTGAGATAGTAGTATGGATGGGAAATTATTACCACTCATGGGCTTATTGTCTGAGATAGTGATATGGATGGGAAATTATTACCGGCAACAGGCTTATTGTCTGAGATAGTAGTATGGATGGGAAATTATTACCAGCCATGGGCTTATTGTCTGAGAGAGTGATATGGATGGGAAATTATTACCAGCCAAGGGCTTATTGTCTGAGATAGTGACATGGATGGGAAACTATTACTAGTCACAGGCTTATTGTCTGAGATAGTGATATGGATGGGAAAATATCACCAGCCAAGGGCTTATTGTCTGAGATAGTGATATGGATGGCAAATTATCACCAGCCAAGGGCGTATTGTGTGAGACAGTGATATGGATGGGAAATTATTACCAGCCGTGGGCTTATTGTCTGAGATAGTGATATGGATGGGAAATTATCACCAGCCATGGGCTTATTGTCTGAGATAGTAGTATGGATGGGAAATTATTACCAGCCACAGGCTTATTGTCTGAGATAGTGGTGATGGGAAAATATCACCAGCCAAGGGCTTATGGTCTGAGATAGTGATATGGATGGGAAATTATTACCAGCCAAGGACTTATTGTCTGAGATAGTGATATGGATGGGAAATTATCACCAGCCAAGAGCTTATTGTCTGAGATAGTGGTATGGATGGGAAATTATTACCAGCCAAGGGCTTATTGTCTGAGATAGTGATATGGATGGGAAATTATCACCAGCCAAGGGTGTATTGTCTGAGATAGTGATATGGATGGGAAATTATTACCAGCCAAAGGCTTATTGTCTGAGATAGTGACATGGATGGGAAATTATTACTAGTCACAGGCTTATTGTGTGAGATAGTGATATGGATGGGAAATTATTACCAGCCAAAGGCTTATTGTCTGAGATAGTGATATGGATGGGAAATTATCACCAGCCATGGGCTTATTATCTGAATTAGATTTCTAAATGTGTTAACTATCATCCTATTGGTTTCTGTTAAAAACCTTCATTATCCGTCATCTGATGCGAAAGGTCATTTCAAACGACTTGCTGGTCAAAGTTCATATTAATATCAGAACTTTCAAAGTATGGTATGACATTAAAAAGAAAAAAAGGACAAATGCCATTTTGTTACACTCGGTCCACTTCTCTTATCAAAGAATCAGTAAAATATCAAACGTTGCTCAGGATTTTAACACTTGGGTAGGTTACAGAGAAACAAACAATAAGTTTGAAGTGAGTGATTCAACGGCTGTATACTTGCTCTATATAACAATGCCTACATGTACATCTGGTATCTTATATCCACTCAGCCTGAAATTTCCCAGCATATTACCAAACATCAAAAATCATGACCGTGACGATATAATTTAAACCATGATCAAAGTAGACAATACATAATTTGGTACAGTGTACTGGGAATGTGTTTTACACTCAGCTTCTCTTTAACAGGAAACATGAAAGTGAGAAACTCTGTTGTAATTATAGTCTCATATCACTTTAACTTGATCAGCCACAACACAGGGGAAAGATTTAGATTGGCAAAGTGTTTGTATCATTTCGTTGTTATTCTGTTTTTCTCTGTTGAGGTCAATGTTCGTTTCACAGCAGCCTGTGACTCCATAAATTGGGAAAATATAGTGAGACTTTATGAAAATAAGGAGAATATCTTTAGATTTTGCTCCATTTTGGGATTATTACAAACATTCAAATATTTTTAGCTGTACAACAGAATCTAAAAAATAATGAAGGAAAGACCAATAGAGATAAGGAAATATATACCATGGCAGTGGGTAATGGGAGGGGAGGGGAGGAGGGGTGTGGTTAGCATGATGTATCCTACCAAGAATTGATTGAAAATCCTCTTACATTGATTCCATAACCTGTGAGAAATAATCAAGAAGAAAGAAAGAAAAAAAGATAGGGAAAGGAAATGAAGGGAAAAAGAAAGAAAGAAAGCAAGACAGAAAGAAAGAAAGAAAGGGAAAGGAAAGGAAGGAGAAAAAAGATTGAAAGAAAGAAAAAAGAAAGAAAGAAACTGAAACCCCAGAAAAAAAGATATTTTAGGCGATAACCATCAAGATGGACAGGCAGGCAGGCAGGCAGGCAGGCAGGCAGGCAGACAGACAGACAGACAGGTAGACAGAATGATGTGATTGTTATCAATATGTAGAGTACTTAAGCCTTCCAATGTGTCAGATTAATCAACGAAATCACTAATTACAAAGTAATGTAGTATAGATTTGTTCTGGAACTCTTTTGTACGTGAAGTACATATAAAAGTAAGATAACAAACCTCCTTAAACCAAACTGATAGATGTGTAAATAACTTCAACATAAGATTGGTCAACACTATCATGTGTTTGTAAACTAGAACTTCTTGTTTTATAAATTCTTGATAGGATTTCACACCACATTGTTCATACTGTTAATATATAACAAGACACTTCAGAAGTAGATAAAGTGAGATAAAATAAGGCACCTCCTGTGTAGTAACGATATTAATCAGATCATTAATTTTACACAAAACTGTTGTTCGAAAGGCTTATAATAATCTATAGTAGCATGAATACTTTTTACACAACTGTAACAAAAAACTTCTATATAAATCTGACAATAGGTATAAAATCTTAAATATTTTCCATGAAGACCAGAGATAAATGTAATTTTGGAAAATAACTATTATATTTCATTTGCTAATAATCATCAAAATCTTAGATAAAAACAATAAACAGCTGGTTCATCATCAAAGTTTACAAGTTACAAATTGCTATAGACTGCAACATCAACTAGGGATTTACATGTATCAGCCTGTTTGATTTAAAAGATAAAAAAGATGCTTGAAGAATTAAACAAATCTGACCCCCATGACCTTGAAAAGGGGTCAATGTCACTTGCTGAACAAACTTTTAATGTCCTTCCTATACCCTGCAAGGTGCTGCCAAAATAAAAAAACCAAAGTTGTTTTTTTTTTTTTTTTTCTCATAAGAAGTGGTTGGAAGATTCACCACAGCTATAGTAAATATGATGAACCTACTGTGGTATGTTTCAAGTATTTAACAGGTTTTGGAGAGTTACATTATAAGTCAATATTTGATGAAATTAAATGACACGTACCCCTCAATAGTGAAAATTTAGTCATTTCATTGTGTATATATCAAACCCACCAAAAACCTCAATCTAAAGTCATTTCACCGAGTTTTAATACAACCCTCCTAAAAAACCTCCAATCAGCTGACCTGCATGGGTATGTCCATATTCACCTCCTGTGGATTGCACTACATTTAGTAATAACAAGATTTAAACCAGAAACAAAACAAATCTAAAAATCATATATATTTCCCTCTGAATTTTAAGAAATTTCAATCATTTTATACGTTATTTGAAACTTTCTCTTGTGTAATGAAATATTACAAGCATACTGAACAAGAAAATGTGAATCATGTGTTAAATTATATTAGCAACAGTACTCTCCTCTGCCCTAATTACCCCAGCCCTTTCCTTCCCTATTCCCCTCCTCCCTAATTACCTCAGCCCTTTCCTTCCCTCTTGCCCTCCTCCCTAATTACCCCAGCCCTTTCCTTCCCTCTTCCCCTCCTCCCTCCTCCCCTCGCCAAAGAAATCCAACACTTTCAAATGTACAAATCACTAATTAAGATTCCCAGGGTCTAAAGCAAAATAAACAAAAACCAATGAAATTGAATAAAAAATAACAAGTCAATAAATGTTTATAAAATCAATAGATAAATGAATAAATAAATAGATAAATGAATAAATAAATAGATAAATAGAAACATATAAATAAAGGTTTTACCATACTGATATACCATATACAGAGACATATCTATGTCTCTGCTGTATACAATGCTGATAACTACCAAATATGGTGATATAAGATTGTATAAAAAAAATCAAATCTGATGAACCAACCTATCTATAAGAAATTCCAATAATGTCCCAATTTTGTAACAGAATCAGAAATGTATCACAAACTAACATGGATAGATGGCCTTGACCCTGTTTAATGGATATATAGGTATATAACACTGTACAGCTTTTATTGAGGTAAACTGGATTTGATAAGAGAATTATATTTAATCACCATCTTCATACAAATTAACAATTAATTAGAAATTGTTTTAAGTCAAATATGAATCAATACAGTAAATCGGGGTTATTTTTTCTTCCTTTTTTATCTATTTTTCATTCTTTCATTATAATTATTTTTCATTTTAATTTTTCAAATGAAACGAAGAAAATTTATTATGATTATTTTTTTACATAAAATTAAATTACCATTAAATATTCTAAGGCAATCTAATAAATTTGGGGTCTATCACTGGGTATATATATATCACATCGAAATACCTAGCTTGTCTATATACAAGCGTGAGACCAGCAACATGCCATAATGATGTACCCCTATGTAAGAAATCTGGTGCGTAAAGCATGTGTCATCTGTCTGGTATACAACACCTACATACAGCTGTATAGACTTACCCAGAAGCAGGACCCGAACTTCCTTATTTCTGAAAATCTTCGTCCATATTGCACCCATGCTCATCTATCGGTCACCTCATTGTTTTGACCAGTGTCCGAAACAACTCCGTGCAGGTGGACATCTAACTTGTACTGTAATCCACAGCAGTGTTACGATCTGGAAATCAACGCAGGCATGGATGGAGGCTAGTCATGCTACGATCTGATTGGCGTTATTACAGCGCTGGTGCTATTTTTAGATCCGTTCATATTACTCATGACTGTACTTTCGTTTCGTCGAGAAAACGTGAGATGTTCCTGAATCATTTCATTTCTTTCGCGTGATTAGTTCTGATCGGTAATTTTTAAACATAAGAGGTTTAAAAATGCCTGTTTCCTACAACTGTGTACAGCCACCCCCGCACCTACACGTACAAATGTCATTCACAAAGAATGCATGCCTTCTTTTATTTATATCAAAGACACCATTTGTGAGGAGTAAAGAGAAAATTCGGTAAAATATGAAACCTTTGGATAGTGAGGGCGGATGTAACAGAAATGACTGATAAATCAAATGTAACAATGTGCACACCACATAAATAACAAATGATGCAGTCGATGATTTTTTTAAAAAAATATTCATTTATTTATTACCTGGTGGTGAATCTGTCGTCTAAAAGTATGCAAAGTTCTTTTTTTTTAAAAAGTATACATTTTTACAAAAATTAATCGGTACAGTTGTTTCAGCTGCGTCTTAACTCTTTCCCCAAAATTGCTGACGAAATACTCGTATATTTCGAGATTTTTTTTTATTTAGGAACCGAAAAATCGTTTATGAGTGTTTTCACATGCATGTATGATTACGTCATGTGACGTCATCTACCAGCTTTGACATTTTTACTGGATATTCCTACAAATACTAATGGTTGGTCCAGGCGCCAAAACACTGACGTTTGTCGGTGAGACAACGCCAAGAATTAGGAGGAGTAAGGAGACTAGTGGCTGTAACCATCCAACCAGGGTTGTTCAGGTTAGCAGCATTCTCTTTGTAAAATTCGACAGCAAGGAAAAACGATCCCACAATGACGGTGAGAACGCGAAAAAATAACGGCGAATCAGCGCAAAGCTCACACGGACCTCTCGCCCCCTCTCCATCACTTCCTCGTGTCGTCGCCGTGGAGGAAAATATATGATTTCTTATCTGGCTGAATCAGGCCATCGTTTAATAGCTATAAGTGGATGGTATGAACGACCGGGATCTTTTATAACAAGAAACATCCTTTTTTAATGTTCACACTTCGTGATATTCAGAATGTAATTTCTCTTTAGATGAATAATTTGACTTCAGTTTATCCACAATGAAAATAATATTTATGTGCTACTTTCGCGAAGGATGTAAATTTCCGTTACGACTCATCACCTTCCTTAAAGAAAATTTCAATTTAAGATTTAGCATTACTTGCAACGGCACTGGTTTCCGTATACAGCTGTCACAGCTATCACATAAATCTGACAGTTCATTAAAAGTTCTTCAGAATAATTGCTAAAATATCAGCACCACCATACACTTACCGTCATTATACATATATGGTAAATTGATTAATTAATGGCAATCGATTTTCGCGATGACCGTATTTTGCTTAAGTCTGATTGCGCCGTTTACAGTACAAGAAGCGATTTTTTTCACTTTATTTTTTAATTGAAGTACATCCGTATTTGTGTGTTAGTAATATCGGTGGGTTTTTTCATTCCCTATCTCCCACTTTCAACTTCCACGAATTGTTTTATCCCTTCATCTAACTTCCTCGTAAGACCCTGGTTGCTGATGAAGTTAAACATATAAAAAAAGTATTGAATACCGTTTTCTCGTTCGCTGAGAGGCTGTATTCCGTTCAATGCGACGGTTTTAAGATTGACATAGTTATCCCCCTTTATAAACGCTCTCACAGCTGAACAGTAACGCGTACCATGAATATCGATGTGATGTCTAAATGATTTATTCATTCAGTAAACAGTTTTTGACTCGGAGTGTAAACTTGTTGTATTTATTCATCAATATCTTCGTTTTTAAAGGACTGATCCTGGTCGTCAGGGAAAAATCAATTCTACTTTCATAATTAATGAATTATTAGCAAGCGGTCTGTGGTATTATCGCGAAATGCAACTTTCATATTGGTAGATGTAAGTGTCGAGTGTTCGGAGTAGATTCACCAGTTCTGAATTTCGAGACATTTAGCAGTATTGGTTTATGGTAATGTCTTCTAACCATGAGACTAATATGTGGAATTTCAAGCAGAAACAAAAAAGATGACGCGCCAATGATCCACTTTAGCTGGCTTCAGAGTTTGAGAAATGCGAAACCCCGTCGAAGGCCCAACACGACATAAGATTATATGGTTTTCTAGTCCAGACTGGTACAGTTAGAGTCCATCTGTTTTCAGGAAAACGTTATCGGTCTGTAGCCCACTTTTTCACAGGTTGAGAATTCTTCACCACAAACACATACTGCATAGCCTGTTAATTTTGCGAGTCAAAAATTCACGTTTTTCATTTAAGAAGAAGAAAAAGAAGAAGAAAAAGAAGAAACGTCAGGATATGGTTGTACGAGGGTATCTAATTTTCGCGAATATCAGTCTTGACGGTAAATTACAAACTATTTAACATGTGAGTGTTGAATTTTCATATCTGTATTTTATGTTCCTAACTGCCGTATCTCGACACAACCAGTTGCTTAATGACGCCAAACAGTATACCATATTAATCTGTGTTCAGTTTATTCATTTATTACTAGGTAAACTGTTCTGTTCGGAATATTTCTATCCTTTTTAGTGACAACTTGTAAACAAGTGTTACACAAGTGCATGTATTTGGTTAAACGACATTGGATGTTTGGAGGCGGCCGAGGCGGCTAATAATAGTATTTTATTTCGCGGATATTTTTTTTCACGAACATGTCAATAACCCGCATGGGAATACCCTTAAGAGAATATCCGACCATATGTTATTTAGAATATTGTAAATAGTCATTTTGCTAAAAATAGAATAATTATTTCAAATATGTTATGAACAACCTTCGGTCCACTAACTCTTAATAAATCACCTTAAATGCATTTACTATCGTCAAATTTTTCTGTCGACAAGATGTGAAACAAAACAAATCAAATTCAGCCCCTTCATAGGCTGATCCCTAGGGGTACACACCCGGCGTGCGCCCTTTCTAAAATTTGCCAAGTGGCCATCATTTGCAAGAATAATACACTGAGTTTCCATCATCACACCTCAGTGTAGAGTTCTAATGTAGTATGGTATTTCTAATCACATACGAATATTGAGAGCTCTAATTATTTGTATTCGCAAAACATCGGGGTTACTTCCCGAATCAGACATTGGAAAGTTGATTGAAAGGTTGCGTCTTTTTTGTCCGTAAGAATAAATAGGGCGGCCTATTATCTTTCCAAGTTTTTTTGTATTTGTTTTTGTTTTGTTTGTTTGTCTTTCAAATCTTAACGAATGTTCAAGCAACTCGAGTGATTTGCACAGCAGAAAGGTTTGCGTTGCTAGATCATTCACCGTGATATATAAATGGCATATTTATTTTGTATTTTTCCCGTCAGTTACTAAAAAGAAAAGTTTTATATCAACCTCTTACATAGCAGTGACGAAGAGAGATTTAGTACAGCGGACTACGATAACACATTAATACTCCCGTTAAATAGGATACGCTATCCTATTGCATCTTAAGCAACTTCACTAGGCCATAATAGTGGACGTAAAACCCGTTAAATAAATAAGAAAACTACTGAAATATAGGTATTCTCTCCTACAGAATCCTGTAACAGAGATGTACTTAAGGGTGTATGTGACCCCGCTGAAATATCGGTTTTCTTCCTACAGAATCCTGTATCAGAGATGTACTTAAGGGTGTATGTGACCCCACTGAAACATTGTTTTTTTTTTCTACATGTACATAATCCTGTAAATGAGATGTACCTAAGGGTGTATGTAACCCCGCTGAAATATCGGTTTTCTTTCCTACATAATCCTATAACAGAGATGTACTTAAGGGTGTATGTGACCCCATTGAAACATAACCGGCTTTCTTTCCTACAGAATCCTGTAAATGAGATGTACTTAAGGGTGTATGTGACCCCACTGAAACATCGGTATTCTTTCCTACATAATCCTATAACAGAGATGTACTTAAGGGTGTATGTAACTGAAACATCGATATTCTTTCCTTCATTATCCTGTAACAGAGATGTACTCAAGGGTGTATGTGAGCTCACTGAAACATTGATATTCTTTTCTAAATAATCCTGTATCAGAGATGTACTTAAGGGTGTATGTGACCTCACTGAAAATTCGTTATTCTTTCCTACATGTACATAATCCTGTATCAGAGATGTACTTAAGGGTGTATGTGACCCCACTGAAACATTGTTATTTTTTTTCTACATGTACATAATCCTGAATCAGAGATGTACTTAAGGGTGTATGTGACCCCACTGAAACATCGTTATTTTTTCCTACATGTACATAATCCTGTAAATGAGATGTACTTAAGGGTGTATGTGACCCCACTGAAACATTGTTATTTTTTTTTTCTACATGTACATAATCCTGTATCAGAGATGTACTTAAGGGTGTATGTGACCCCACTGAAACATCGGTATTCTTTCCTACATAATTCTATAACAGAGATGTACTTCAGGGTGTATGTGACCCCGCTGAAACATCGGTATTCTTTCCAAAAGAATTCTGTATCAGAGATGTACTTAAGGGTGTATGTGACCCCACTGAAACATCGTTATTTTTTCCTACATGTACATAATCCTGTAAATGAGATGTACTTAAGTATGTATGTGGCCTCACTGAAAATTCGATATTCTTTTCTAAATAATCCTGTATCAGAGATGTACTTAAGGGTGTATGTGACCCCACTGAAACATAACCGGCTTTCTTTCCTACAGAATCCTGTAAATGAGATGTACTTAAGGGTGTATGTAACTGAAACATCGATATTCTTTCCTTCATTATCCTGTAACAGAGATGTACTTAAGGGCGTATGTGACCCCACTGAAACATCGATATTCTTTCCTAAATAATCCTGTATCAGAGATGTACTTAAGGGTGTATGTGACCCCGCTGAAACATCGGTATTCTTTCCTAAATAATCCTATATCAGAGATGTACTTAAGGGTGTATGTG